TGCCATAAAAGGCCACGTCTTCGCCGAAGATAAACATTTCCACTTTATATCCCTTTAGCAAAGCGTGCTCTCGGGCTAACCCGAAGTTAAGCCGATCGCCCGTATAGTTGGCGACTATAATAAGTATTTCATTGTTGCCATTCTTGTCGCCAATTGTCTCAATTAGTTTCAGTGTCTTTCTGGGCGGCGGCGAAGCGAATATCTCTCCCGAAACGGCGCCCGTTAGTAGACCGCTGCCAACAAACCCGGCAAACATTGGCTCGTGTCCTGACCCACCTTTCAAACAGTAATTATGACATGTATTAAGTTTATTAAAATTATGTTTTAATTTTAATTAATAAGTGACAATTACCTCCACTAATGAGCATAACTTTTCCCGTTTTGCGATACGTTTGATAGTCTTTACGGACGACTGAATTGCATTCGGGAATGACTTGCAGTCCATCGTTACCGGCGGCCAAACCAATCAGACTCTCGTAAACACTGGTCTCAATTGAATTAATCAAGTGTTTTGTTTTAATCATAATGAAAATGTATGATTGAAAATTAATTAAATTATTAACTGTAATATAACACGAGTTTTATTTTACAGTAAAAAAAACTTTTTGATAACTTTAAGTCTACAGAAAAACAACAGTTTCTAATGAGGTTCAAGGTTTGAAGTTTAACGATAGTATATTTATAATAACATGTGTTAAACAAAATGTGATTACAATTTGTGTTTACTGTAAAAGTAATTGCTATCAATTTTGACGGCTACTAAAAATCTAATTTTATTTTTAGGTTTTTTTTTAAAAATACCAATACATGAAACACGGTTTATATCAATGGTTGGTCTAACAAAGCAAATAAATGGATGAACTAAAACCTGTTTAAACTACACCCACAATCAAAATAGCAAATTAATAGTAATGCTTAATAATAATTTCCGCGTCTATTTAATATCTATGCGTTTACCCTAATCCTACAAAAGTCCATAGTGCACTTTAAATTAAATTTTGTATAATTAGAAAGTGATTAAAATATTATTCACATATCCAGAACATTAATGCACTTATTATACAATAATTTATATTAATTATAAATTGATAGTATTTATAAAATCAAGTTTTGATTTAATTAAAAACATGATAATTAAATTTAATTGATTGCGGTATTATATAAATAATAATTTTTAATTGAAATATACTACCAGAGCATAAGTTCTACTACTGTATAAATAAACAAATACTAATTATTAGTATTTCACATTGTTAATTATAAATATTTGTAACTATCAAACAGAAATATACGTATATTATTCATAAATTTATAATAGTTTATTTATTAACGTTACATATAAATATACAGTACTGGTCAAGTGATTGTGGTCATTTTGCTCAACAATATTAATCATTTAATTTATATGTAATTTATTAATTTTACTAATAAGTAGTGGTTATATAGATGTTAGTAAAATTATTTCCTTACATATAAATAATTATGTAAAATAGTTATTAAAAATAATTAAAAGTTTTAAATTAAATTAATATTTTGTTTATACAAAACATGACAACTCATGTGTAGTCTTATGGAAATATTTTGCACTTAAATATCGATTCCTATATTTAAAGGAAGAATAACAAGAATTTGGACAACAGATGCCATCATTTGTTCGGCGATTCCTAACATTTATTTCAAGTATTTTATTATATTTTCAATTCTTATTCTTTGCCTTTTATTTATTTATTCATAAAACAGATTATTGCAAACAATTAAATTTATAACCACTTATTATTACCACAT